TAGCATTATTCAATGGTTTTCTTTATTTCTTACTATATATAAGATTCTAATGATGGTGTCGCAGTTTTCCATTGTTGTCGGCGTATTTTTATTGGCCGGAAAATCACGTAGTAGGATCCAGTTTTCCCCCATTCATTTCCAAATTGTTTAGGTTGTCATCAGCATAAAATTAACAAAAGTCGTGTTGTTGTTGCTGTTGTTAATTTACGTCGCACTAGAGCTGCACAATGGGCTATTGGCGACGGTCTGGGAAACATCCCGGAGGATGATCCGAAGACATGCCATCACAATTTTGATCCTCTGCGGAGGGGATGGCACCCCCGCTTCGGTAGCCCGACGACCTGCGCGCGAAGTCGAGCACTTTACGGTAGCACAGTTTAACGAGGACCTATACCGCACACCCTCGGTCCCTACGCAGACTGATCCAAGTGGTCACCCACCCGCACACTGACCGCAGCCAGTGGTGCTTGACTTCGGTGATCTGCTGGGAACCGTGTCTTATCGATCAGTCAACTGCGGGACACAAAAGTCGTGAAGGTATTGTTTTCCTTTAAATATTTTTGTATCCCTAATTTAAAGTTATTTTTCAGTACTGCTATTATTAGTGAAAATTTTAAATTATGGTTGCGAACTCATCAAATTTGTTTGAACAATATAATGTATTAAGAATATAAATGTTATTTTAAAAAAATGATAATTAAAAAATCACTTCTGTTCACCAAGAGATCTAAATGTTTATAATACTAATAGATATTTGGAAGTGGGAAGTAGAGGCGCAAGAGAGTAAGTAAACAGAAATCCTTTTAGTACATAGATGTTAGGTGAATATCTTTAATTTTAGTAGAAAAACTGTTTTCTGGCAAGAAAAAACAATTATTGCGAAGCAATCATCGGGGTTGGTGAGCGGTAGCGAACAGGGGGCCTTGCCCTCTAGTACAGGAATAAAACTTTTACTTGCCTAAGATAATTGATCACGGTTCCAATAATTCAGACGTGATCTATTAGACATAATATAGGGCATATGGGAGCGAAGTGCTGATAAATTATTAGGACCTGAAGATAGTTTTGAAATAAATACATTAATAATACTGTCATACAGCCAGCCTCTCTTAAAATTTTTACCAACTGCTTTTAAGTATTTATCTTCCCTTTTTTTTAAAGGATAAAAACTTCTAGCGACATCAATTCCGAAAGTGATATGCTTGATTGTGAGATTAACTTGATTTATATTTCTTACAATATTTAGATTTGGAGTGGACACGGTTCCCAGCAGATCACCGAAGTCAAGCATCATTGGCTGCGGTCAGTGTGCGGGTGGGTGACCACTTGGATCAGTCTGCGCAGGGACCGAGGGTGTGCGGTATGGGTCCTCGTTAAACTGTTCTACCGTAAAGTGCTAGACTTCGCGTGCAGGTCGTCGGGCTACCGAAGCGGGGGTGCCATCCCCTCTGCAGAGGATCAAAATTGGGATGGTATGTCTTCGGATCATCCTCAGGGATGTTTCCCAGACCGTTGCCAATAGCCCATTGTGCAGTTCTAGTGCGACGTAAATGAATTACAACTACAACAACAGCAAGATTTGGAGTGAAAGGAATATAGTTAATTTCTGAAAGATTATATTCATCACATTTTTTAAAAATCATACTTAGCTTTCTAGCTGGTAGTTTTTAAGTTATCCAATTCATTATATTCACTTTTTTCTTAACGAAATCCTGTTTTTCTAACTTATTTGAATCACGCTTAATTTAGCATTAGGAGGAATTGGTGATGGAGTGAAAATTAGTAGATGGTACATCAATTACCTTTGATATGCCACGACAACAAGATATTAATTGCTTTAAATTTTGAATAATATGCGGTAACAATATAGTTTGCACTTTCTCATTTTCAAGAAAATCAGTCAACTGAAAGATATATTGTTTACATTCAGAAATACCTTTGTCTGTATTTGATGTCCAATTAAAATTAAATGGAATGAAGAAGTGGTAATATAATCTTCAGGTATTGAATAAAAATTTGATTGATTCTCATTTTAAGTCGTTATGTATAGTAAGTCTTTATGTTTAAAATTATCAGTTTCATAAATATCAAAATTCTGATCAAGAGGATTACCATTAAATGAACTGTACAATATCGTAGGACAATCTTTCTGATTGTCAAAAGCTCTCAAACTTATTGCATGCACTTAATGAATATGTTTACGAAGCAAAAAACTATCATGGCAATCCTAAACATATAAATGGCTACACAGGATAAGGCAAGGAGAAATGTGGCATGTGTAACTACATAAACCAAGTTCAGGGCAAGAATCATTTATTTTAATGACAACATACAAGTCACCAGAAGTTTTATAAGCATCACTATCAGAAATTTCAATACCACTGTTGTGTCTTAGGTTGGATATAAACTGAGAGGGGCTCCAGTTAATTTGCGAAAAACATATGATCTGAAAATATCTTTTTAATTTGCATAAGTATTTCAATTAATTTGTCTACCTTTCCATTGAAAGCACTCTATTTCTAATTTATTATGAAAAGTCTCACAATAAGCATTGGTATCAGTAAAGGCACGAGGAAAATTTTGATATGCCATAATTTTACTCTATCCTCAGAGCAATAATTTATTTAAAATAAGAGATAAACTGCAGAACAACAATTTTCTACTTTTGCATAAACAACTGAAGTTTATTTAAAAATGATGAAAGATTCCACTCTTCTAAAAGAGAATTAATCTGCATATAGTTAACTTCATAAAGATACATCTTTAATCTTAGATGATATTTGACTTAGCCAGGTCCTGTGAATGTGCCATTTACCTAACAAATGTGAAACAATTCAAAAAATTGTATGGAATGAATTAGCTGTAACTTTATCCTTATCAGTCATTATACGGAATTATATATTATAACAATATTATTACATACTAGCCACCTAAGGCGGCCAGCAATTTTAGATTTAAGCTAATGATATTTTAGATTATGCCAAAAATAATTTTTTTTTTTGTATGTTTAAAAAAAAAACATTATATTAAGTTTTACATTACATGAAATATTTACAAAATTTCATGTAATTTTTTATATAATGTTTTAAAAAATGCACTTATGTTGTAAATCTTTAATTAATTAGAATTACCTGTAAGTAAAACTTTCATGTATCCCACGCAATCAGACCTAGAAAATTATGAAAATAGCCTTCTCTAACAAGACAAATAGAACTTTATTATGGCGAATAAGTTTGGCACAGTAGTAGCTAAGATGCAATCAATATAGGGTTATAAGAAGATTGATGGAATTCAAAGTGCTAAAAGTAACTTTTTCACGAAAGCAAGCGCTAAGCTCACTTAATACTATTTTGACAAAATATTGTTATCAACGTGATTCTCACTAGCACCTCCAAATTCTCAATCGAGAATTGTTTGTACAGTGAAAATAGACCTGAAAAGCCTTTAAACCACCTGAGAGATTTTTTTGTACTTTAACTTCTACTTAACATCTCCGATTTGATATGATTTCGATTGTAAAAGTCCTCTTGACCAATCAAATTCCTCAGATATGATAATTTTACCTTATATGGAAAATGACATGGGCTTCGGAATAGTCGATTTCCTTTTAAGGGATATTTCATTTTACAACTTTAATATAAATAATTATATTTTCCTTTTACAATTATTTTATCTTAAAATATTTATATATTTTAAAGTATACTTATTTTTAATAGATTAATTATTTTTATTTATCGTCTGCGTAGTCTTGGTCTTTTCAAGATTTGCACATTTCTGAAACCGTTCTCCCCTTTATAAAAGTCATATATCCGTAGTTTCTGATTGCAGAGATTAAATCAGCCTCTTCTGATTGATATTCTTCAGGGGCGTTGCATTGTATTATTGCTGAACGAAGAACTTAAATAAATTGGTAAAAATATATTATAAATTTTATTAATTGATGTTATTGTATGTTCAATATTAATCAAATATATTCTTTCTTATTTAGACACTTAAATTTGCTGTTTTAATGTTTTATTCAAAAAAGCCGGTATTGTAGTTCGTTATTATATGTGCAGTTCATCTAATTAATTTATATATCAAGTATGTCGGAAAATATTATCTTTTATTGTTTAAAATATTTATAGTAAAATATAAATTAAAATTCTTTACCTGGTTGGTATTCTGTCAATGCTATTTAGTAACCTTGATAATAGCTGTTATTTACAGCTATCTTAAATCTCTTTATTGAAGTAATATTTAGGGCTTTGACCCGAAACTTATGTTGAAAAATTTCTTTGATAAAACGAAGCCAAAAAAATAAATTTTTTTTATGCTGCCATTAGTTAATATTCAAAGTTAATTTTCATTTAGTTTAAATGTCACTTTATGAATTTCTTTTTTTGTGCATTACTAATAAATTGTTAAATTGCAACATAATAATAAGTAAATTAGAAAAAGTTTTGAATTGTTCAAAAGAGAATGAATTATGACCATTCATATGAAGTTTTCAGTTGTAGATCCTTCATATGAATTCTAGCTTTATTGTTAATCAAAACTTGCACTAATTGAAATATTTTTTTAGTAAACAGTACAAAATTTTAAATGGAAGAAATTGTTACAATAAATTTAATGAAATGGTATTTTTAAAATTTAAATTTCTTAACCATTGTAGAATTTTGTGTATAATTTCTAATTCACCTGGTTTAATAATGCGAGATATTTCTTTATTGGGTAAATATGTTCTAAGAGCCTATAAAGTAAGAAATTCTAGGTTTTTTTTTGGGAGGAGAGGGGGCCTTATCTATGTCGTTTGAGGATGTCCTTGCAATATGCCAGATTCCAACATCTGTTGTAAACTCTAATGAATCTTGTGTCTAATAGATTTCAACTATCTTTTTTTCCTCTTAAGTCAACATATGTAACTGCAGTTGATGTATAAGTAACAACTTTTCAGTTTGCAATTATGAAATGCTAACCTTTCTAACCTTTTGTGTGCAATATTTCTCTTGTAGATCAAAATGTGTGATGACGAAGTTGCCGCTTTGGTTGTAGATAATGGATCTGGTATGTGCAAAGCTGGCTTTGCAGGAGATGATGCTCCTAGAGCTGTTTTTCCTTCCATTGTTGGAAGACCCAGGCATCAGGTATTTATAAGCATTTCTCTTCATATTTTGAACTTATACCATAAAATTAGCAAGCTTATCCGACCTCTTTTTCCATAATAAAGTCTAACCCCATTTGAACTGTGGACCCAGTAATGAACTGTAAATTAAATTCTTAAATTAGGTATATAAGAAAAATATTCTTAAAAGTATTAATAAATTTTTTTATAAAATTTAATTGCATAATTATATATTTTATATAATGTATTTAAAATTATTAATTCTTAAAAGTAGTGATAATGATAGTGTGTTTGCTTATAAATTTATTAACGGATTAAATTAATAATAAATGAAATATTGAAAAAATAATTTTTTTTAATTCTATGGTAGAAATTAGTGCTTTTTGACTTTAAGTTAAGTTTACCCATTTTCGTTCAACAAATCCAGTATATTCTTGTACTCATTTTCTCGGGTGGAGGGGAAAGAAAGGTCAACCCTCTTTTAACCTAAAGTTTGCCTTGAAATTAGTAAATTGAAATTTTTGTTCTTCAACATGGGTGGGATTAGACTAACAGGGTTGTCACAGGTAGAACAGAAAGTTAAAAAATCTCCTAAAATAACTAGGAAAATGCAAAGAATTTTGATTTTTCTCTTTACAAACTGGGGAAAATACAGGAAATTCTTATATTCAGCTTTAAAAAAAAAATGACTGCTCAATGTGTAATCTATGGGATATTAAATCAATATATTTCGGCTATACTAAACTATTTCACTTACTGTAACATTATTTAAGTATATCCAGCTGTTCCTATTTTTTCTCTAGCAAATTAAAAAAAAAGCATTCGCTTTTAGCAAATTTTTTTACCAAATTAAAAAAAAGTACATTCAGCCCAATGTAGTTCAAACAGAGGCATTGTAATTGTTTTCTCTTAATATAATGTGTACAAGGAAACCACAGGGATTTTTTCATTCTTCCTGATTTGAGTGGCTAAGAAGGAAGCTACTGCTTAACAACTTGTTTGCCTTAGTTTTTAAGTAAACAGTTTATAAAAGAGTTTGACACAATTTAAAGAATTGCCTTGGTTTGCGATCACAACTTCTGTAAATTTAAAGTTTGAAAAATGAAAAACATGGCTGGTATAATTTGTCTGTAAAAACAAGAGAGGCTTAAATTTATAACATAGCTGAATATATATTTGTAAAAAATTTTTTTTTATTAGTTTGCTCCAATAAACACTAAATAAAAATATTCTGAATTTAGCTGTTAACTTTAAATAGTTTTGTTCATAAAGCTATTAACACATGAATTAACAAAAAACTAACTACAATTTTGTATTTATCCTTTCTTCTTTTGAGCTGAAAGTAAATATGAAAACTTGAAATTAAAAACACTGGGTTTGAAATCACCCATATATTTTTAAATTAAATTTTAAATAAAAAGTAGCTTAAGGTATCCGAACACGTTCGGAGGATTTTTTTAAAAATATTAAGTTTCAGAACACTTTAATTATGTTTTTATATTTATTATATGTAAAAACTAATATTAAATAAGAGAAATTAGACATTTATATTATATTTTGTTTTTAAAAGCTGAATAACAAGAAAAAAATAAGTTTTTTTCATAAAACTTGTGAAAGGATATACTTCACCAAAATTATTGTATCAAAAAAGTGTTATTATCAAAATAAAGAGCTGAATTTTGTCTAGTGATTTGACTACAAACATAAAAATATTTGGAAAATTAAATTTTTTATAGAGAATTGAAAACTTTTTATGAGATTTTTGTCAAATTTCTTACGTCGTATTTCACATTTTAGGACAATAATAAAAAACTATTAAGTATTTTTAATCAATTGTAGCACAAGCACTAGAAAACATTATACATAATACACATACAAATTTTTATTGAAATATATCAACAACTTTTTTAATAATGAATTTTGAAAGTTACTATTTTTGCGTGAAATTACATTCTGAGAAAAAGGCATTTAAAGTATAAATTATATCATTTCTATTTTAAAAATGCTTCAATACTTCTAAAATTCTCCCGATTTGTATGTGATACCTTCCTTTTTCTCAATTTTACAAATTTTTTGTTTTTTTGCAACCCTATTTTTTTTCTGACAATTTTTACATTAGTTAATGAATGGCGTTGAGACTCATACACACGCTCAAAATCAAGTTCTGTAAAACCTTTTAAAGTTTTATTGCCACGGCTGACTCCAACTATGTCGAGTATGCTTTTCAGTCCCAGAAAACCTTTATTAAACTGAATAACAGCCAAATACACACCAAATTGTAATGTTTGCAATTCAACGAACACCTCCTTAGGGACAAATTTCCAAATAATGCCATTAAAGCTACTAATATAAATGATAAATTGAGAGGTTCATTTCTAGCAACATTAAAATAATAATTATTTAAGTCAAAGAAAGATAATTATCCCAAAATAAAGATAAATATAACTGTTTTTGTCCCACTTCCGGTTTCGGAATGCTATTTCCGGTTTCATTTTTTAGTCATCGACTAATATTCTTTTAATCATAACTTTTGTTCTAATTGACGCACAGTTAAAATTTAAACTGTTTTGAAAACTAGAATAAACGGAGATTCGTAATATAATATAAAAAAAATGTGTCATTTCAACGTGTACGGATACCTTAATATAAACTTATTCCTTTTTGAATTAATTCTTTCATAATTATTCTTTGAGAAAAACTGAAATTTTTAAATATTCTATATTTTTACCAAATTGTTTTCCACTTCCGTTTTACTAACAGATATTATAAGGAGACTACCAAATATCTGGCATATGGTTCCTTTTCCTAGCATTTGCTAATATGAATAAAGATATTTAGTCTGCTAAAATTTCTTTTATTGATAATTAAGCTTCTTGATTTTTAATAATCTCTTTGTTATCTTTTAGAACACTACTTGCCATTATGATAGCATTTATATTAAATGTTTAAAAATATTTTTCTGCTTTCTTAAATAATTTGTTCCAATCTTAAAGATGTTTCTTTGTTTTTAGGGTGTGATGGTTGGTATGGGTCAGAAAGACAGTTATGTTGGTGATGAAGCTCAGAGTAAAAGAGGTATCTTGACCTTGAAATATCCCATTGAACACGGTATAGTGACCAACTGGGATGATATGGAAAAGATCTGGCATCATACCTTCTACAATGAACTGAGAGTAGCCCCAGAAGAACATCCAGTCCTATTAACTGAAGCTCCCTTAAATCCTAAAGCCAATAGAGAAAAGATGACACAAATCATGTTTGAGACTTTTAACACTCCTGCTATGTATGTTGCCATTCAGGTAATATATTTTCTTTTATATCATTTTATTTTTAAGATGTTTAGGATGTTTCCATATAGTCACCTGTTAAGGCAAATGAAAGCTGAGACTTAAAAAAAAATTGCTAATACTATGAATAACGTTGACAGGTACGATGGTTTGAAGAGTAGTGAACATGTGATTTTTCACTTTTCTTCTTAAAAAAAAAAAAAAGAAAAAAAAAGACCCTGGGAAAAGCAACCATTGCTGTTTACTAAACTTTTTATAAATGATATAATCAGCATAATGAATTAGTACATGGAAAAAGTGTTTCGTACTTTATTTTGATAACCTGATTTTTTAATAAAAATAAAATTAATTTGTAAATTTTTTAGTTTAATTTTCTCATTAAATTGTTAATTAACTTATTGAATGCATAATCATAAAATATCCACTTTTTTGTACTAAATGGAAGACTTGTATTTTAAATTAAGACCTGCTTTTAGTAAAAAAAGGAAATTTAGAAGTCCTTCGTTCTAAAGATCCGTAGCTTCCGAAAGTCCAACATCGCAATATTAGAGAATCAAATAATCCTATTGAATAATCCAATATCGTGATTCATATTCTGTATTTTAAAACTCCCAATACCGCGATTAATTTTTCACGAGAATTTCATGCGATTAGACTAGTTCATGCTATTAGAGAAACCATTAATCCTATTGAATAATTCAATATTGTGATTTTATCCTATTCATGTGATTTTAAAAATCGAACATTGAATACTTGCAGGAACTAAAGTTTTTCTTAAATTAAGTTACAGTATTCATAATTGGTAGGCAATGTAATTATAAATCTTATTTAAAAATATTATGTTAAATACAAAACATGTGGTATGCAAATTGATATCTATTTTTTGCAAATAAAATTTCCAGAGTGGGGTTTTCACTTCATCTCATTATCACCCCCTGACTAAGTTTAATAAAACATGTTCTGTGTGTTTCTCCTAACCCTTAGTAAAGATAAAACCATAAATGAGAAACAGTGAGCCTATCTTTTTATTTATTTAGAAGAATTTATATTTTAACCTAGTATTTCTGTCTCTTACGTGAAGCTGAATGAATAATTAAACTGTTAGATAATATCTATTTTTGACTTGTTTGAATTTTTAAAGCTTAATTGCCCAGCACAGACTGTCAAAATACATAGAAAAGCAATATTTGCATAATTTTTGACTCAGTATTATTCCACATATGTATTTGAATAGTGTATAATTTTCCCGATAAGCATGTGAATAACATTTCACTTAATAAAACAAGAGTATATCTGGTTAGTGGTCCCTTAAGAGATTTCTTATATTTTACTAAATTCATTTATTTATTAACACTTGCATAAAATAAAGCAAAGCAAATTGAAAGAAAGCAATAAGGATAACAAGCCACTGTTTTAATTATTGATTTGATGGATGTTGCAGGCTGTGTTGTCTCTGTATGCATCTGGTAGGACAACTGGTATTGTTCTTGATTCTGGAGATGGTGTTTCTCATACTGTTCCTATCTATGAGGGTTATGCATTGCCCCACGCTATTCTACGTTTAGATCTAGCTGGCAGAGATCTTACTGACTACCTTATGAAGATTCTTACTGAGCGTGGCTACTCTTTCACAACTACGGGTAAACCTTTTGTATAATTTCTATTGCTTGCTGTATAAAAATTGTAAGATAAACACTTACTAGACAAAATAAATTTTCAATTACTTTTTTAATTATGATTTATTTTGGAGCTAAAAGTTTATTTAATTAAATTAATGCATTTTTGTAAATGTTTGATAAATTATTTAATTTGGAGCCTTTTTGTTGCTTATGGAAAATGATTGATATAAGAATTGATGTAAATATATTTTGTTAAAAAATGAACTGCTATTTTCTGTTTACTACTATCCCTGGTAGTAAACTTCTCTTAATATTTGAAAGCAATTGTGCTAAATTAAGGAAATTGCAAAATTTCTATTTTTTATTTTTTTTTTATTTTATAAATTGAACTGTGATTATTTCTCAGAAAAGATGTTCAAATATCTGTTATCTTCTAAATTATTTAAATTGGTTTTGAAGAAAAAAAAAGGTAAATGAAATTTCAAATAAAAAATTAACTTAGTTAATTTAACTTAAGCTTCAATGTGTCTGAGAAAGTTTTTAGCATTCACAACTGATTTAAAATTAATTTACTAAAAATTTAAATGAGTAAAAGACTATTTTGCTGGGAAGAACTTATGTAAAAAAATATACTTTGATTAAATATTTGGTCATGAGAACTTTCATTTGCTTTGTCTTTAACTGAACTGTAACACTAAACAATGATGTAATGTCTTTTCATTAACTTTATTTGATTTGTAGATATTTTAAACAAGATTTACTTATTTTCTTTAAATATAAAAGAAATGATAGAATACACCTTGAGTTGAACTGCAGATATCTGCTATTGCAAATAAACCTAGCAAGTTTTTTTTCTTGGTCTACTACATATTCAAAAAAAAAAAAAAAATTGAAATAAATGTTTAGTTACTTAACTGATATGTTTTGAAGTTTTGATTTCTTCATTCAGGTCTATATTTGGCAGTTTTGGTTCTAAATATGCAAGCTTTAACATTTTTATTGTTAAAATAAAAGTAATATTTAATTCAAATAGAAAAAAATTCAGTGCTTTTATTCTGACATTCTTTTAGAACCGTAAGTCTGAATCGTAATCCGGATTATATTAAGCTGTCCAGTGCTATTAAAAATTGGGATTTATGATATAGTATCCTGTTAAAACTACCATGAAAATAATTTTAATGATGAGGCTTCTTACATTCTAAGTTGCCATAAATCTATAAATTCTTATCCCCCTTAGCAGAATACATTAAAGTGCAGTGCATGCTACAGAAAAACGAGAAAAAAAAATTTAAAATATAAGAATATTTAAAAAAAGTTAATAGGAGCCAGCATTTATTTCCCCGGGAAAGGCTTCCAGGTCTCCCTGTGATGTCAATGTGAAGTCGTAGTGAGAGTAAGGGAGAGAGTGCCTAACTGAGCGTGAAAAGCAACCCAGAGATTTGTACTTACAAATACTTAAACTAATCAAATCTCTTAGTTGATACAGTGAAAAATTTAGTGGTTGGCCTGATAAAATCTTAAAATTAGGCTTGATTTTGAATGTTGGTCTAATTAAGTTCTCTTTATTAAGCTTCTTTAACTGCTTTAGTTGCATATTGCTAAGATTATTTAATTTTGGTTAGAGATATCTGAAAGAAATATATTTAATTGGTGAAATATCACTTAATGTTTAATTTTTCCTTTGCAATATTAAGTTATCTTTTTCTTGCTTTAAAATTTACGTTGTAGAATTCTGAATTCAGTATTTTAGTTTCTGTATTAATGACTTAAAATCTTCATCTTGCAGCTGAAAGAGAAATTGTCCGTGATATCAAAGAAAAGCTGTGCTATGTTGCTTTAGACTTCGAACAAGAAATGGCTACAGCAGCCTCTTCCTCCTCATTGGAGAAATCCTATGAACTGCCCGATGGTCAAGTCATCACTATTGGCAATGAGAGGTTCAGGTGTCCAGAGGCTCTGTTCCAACCATCCTTCTTGGGAATGGAATCTTGTGGCATTCATGAGACTACATACAACTCTATCATGAAGTGTGATGTGGATATCCGTAAAGATCTATATGCAAACACTGTTTTGTCTGGTGAGTTGATTGGTTTTTACATTAGTCACTATTTTGTTTTTCTTTAGAAAATAAGGTGTATACTTGTTAAAAACTTATTTAAGATAAGTGTATAAATTTAGATGGTTTAAAAATTAAAAATGAAGCTAACTGTTCACTTTAATGACCACAATCCATAATCAATTGCAAGTGAAACTTTTTTAAAATTTAGCTATCTAATCCTGGTACTACGGGTAGTTCTTGCCTTCCCATCGTTAAGTATGGCTTCTGGTAGTACAAAATCCACTGTTATGTGTGTGGCAGTTTCTAGACCAGAGAGCCTGGTTCAGATTTTTATAATTAAAAGTGATTACCACCACAATGTGAAATATTATAAATTATCTCTTAGAATAAATTCCATTTAGTTGCTAATAAACTTGGGATGATATTTACAATTTCAACTTTTAAGATGCGAGTTTTTATCTTTTTGCATGTAAAAAAGGAACACTTAGTAGCGTAGTTTAAGCTTATAAATTCTAGATTTTTTTCAATAAATATCTTCATATTTTCTTTCATATTGTTACTAAGTCTATCAATCCTCGACATAAACTGGCAATGTAGTGCTTGATACACCAAATTCACCTTATCTTTAAATTGCATGATTTGCCAAGTGCATTAAAATGAAAGAACTGGTGCAAGAGTTGGAACGTATATGCTAAGTCTGAACATATATGCTGGTTGAAGATTAGGGAGAAAGAATTACTCAGCAGGAGAATTTAACTTCCAAGACTGCTTTTATGAAGAAGCAATTATGATAATCTTATTTTTGCAACTATGGAATTCAATCAATAAAAATCTTATTTTTTAATGTACTGATATGATTTTATAATTTTTGAAAATTGCCTAGAAGGTGTGGTTGCAGGGTCAAGCCCCCAGAGGGCACTTTGGACTATCCGGAAATCAAAGATACCAGTGTGACATGTATACATTAGAATAATTTTCGCCAAGTATAGTTACGAAATTTTATGTGTTAAGAAATCCATGTATCTGCTTTTAATAGCTTTAATTTATTGCCAAGGCCTTTTCTTTGCTTAACACATTAAAATGTGTGAGAAGCAACTAATTTTAATAAAATTTAACTATTAGCAACCATGTAACTGTCTTAGAATTCTATGTTACTGAGTTGTAGAGATGTAGATGGAATCTCTAAGTCTAATTTATTCTGCACTCTATTTAAGATCATAATATTTTTTTTTTAAATAAGGTTCATTAAGATAATTTAGTTTTTAAATGTTAGGAAATATGTTATGCATATTTTTCCATGACATTTTTTGTTAGACTTTCTGATCTAATGGTTGCTGAGAAATATTGTTTCAAGCTGTGCTCTGGATCGTTCGTACTTCTAACAAAGTCTGTAAGAAAACTTATTAATGACAAAAGTTTAAGATTGTTATATTATAGTTTTAATTTTATTCTAAAATTGACACAAAGTAACTGCTTTGTATACTGCACCCATCAGAATTCCGCAATGCATAATGTACAGATTTGTTTCTCATGTTTGTACAACAAAACATGGAAGAAATTTTGTCTCTGAGAATAATACTTATATTTTTTGTGAAAAATTATTATGATTAAGCTGTTATTAATGTTCATTTACAGCATTTATTATCAAACATAATTAGTCAATCAGTTGTGCGGATCATGCTGTCAGTTATCGCTGAAAATTTTTTTGTATCCGAAAATCTCTATGGGGTGCAGGGGTAAAAATCAGCAGTAGTGCATGAAATTGCATCAGAAAAAGAACTTGAGAGAAGCCTAAATAAATGTTTTTGCAATTTTCATGGATGGTAGTAATGACACTGACTCTAAATTATATCCAATTATCTTTTAATCTCATGAATTATCTAATTTTTTTTTTAACAGTATTAATTTAATTTGCCTCTAACGAAAAATGCAGAAGTTAACCAAATCTGTCCAATTTCCTCCTTTTATAGTCATTATTAGCAGTCATTTTATATGCTTTTAAAGTTTGCAGTTTTTTCTCATGCACAGTAAAATGAAAATTCTATTAGTTTCACAGGATGTTATTTAGAACTCGAATGGAGCTGTTTTGAATTAAAATTAAATATCAAAGTTTAAAAAGACATTTTATTAAAATAATTTGTCCCTTGTGATAGTTATCTTACTATTTATTCTCTTAATTATTCTCTTAAATATTCTCTAATTTATTAATACCTTTTTTTTTTTTAAATTATTCAGAAAGGAGTATATATTGGCATTCATTCCAGAATAATGAAGTGTTTTTCATTTCCTTTAAGCATTTTTAACTATTCATTTAAAACATTGGTGCAAATTTAGAAAATTAGAATTTTATGGTTGTAAAATACGCATATATAAAATTTAGGAAAGTTCCAGTTTTTTAAGATATTTAGTAGATCATTTAGCTTTTCTCAGATTTATTTTAACAAAAGTAGTTTTATAGCTTACTCTTAAATATAATTTTCTCTTTTTTACATTAAAATTTTTAATTTTTCATTCGTGAAGTAACAATGAATGAGGTTTTAGTCGGACTTTGAGCTCAATTTTGGAAAGTTAAAATTTTATTACATTAATAAAGATCTTTACACATTTAAAGAAATAAAATCAATAAAAAAAATTATTAATGATTCTCGCTGGTTAACCCACACATGATCTTGATGTCACATGAGTTGACTCCAAAATTTGATTTAAAACTCTGGATAAAATAAAAATTCACAGTTAACTGCTTTTTTGTGCAGTCTCCTTTAAAATCCCTGTACTGTACTGTTCTTTTTCCCATTATAATTTCATTTGTTCATGTAAATATGGGTTTAATATACTAAAGTGGCATAATAAAATTTTAAAATAGCTTTTTTCTGACATTTATATTCAGGGATGAGATTTTTCTGCTTTTAAGCAGATTTCCGATTTTGTCTCTTGAATTTCAGCATTTTTATCAAATTCGTTCTCTAAAAAAAATTTTATAAATCCGCTTTTTCTGAATAATTATTTCCGATTTTCAAAGATACAAAAAATTTCAAACTACGTAGCTTCCAACCGTTTTACATTTTTACTTATTTTAGTTATTTTCTTTGCTTATATGTGCAGAAAGTAAGATTTTCTGTATTTTTGCCCTCCCGCAGGATAGCTGGTATTTTCGTAAGTCAGACGTCATTGCCTCCTGTTACCTGGCGCGAAAGCAAACTAAATAATAAAAAATAGCGGTTTTTGCAGTGAAAATATTTATTTGCGCATTCAATTAATCTTGTAAATTTTTATTTATGGCTAAACAGAAACAATACAAGCAAGCCTTTTAGAGATCCCAAGTCCGGAATCTGCTGATATCTCAATTCTTATTCACGTGATTTTAGTATCAAACATAGTTTTTCGTATTTACCCGATTTATTAATTGCGCTTGGCGATTCTTATTCACGCTTTTTTAAATATCTTAAATTTTGATTCTTATTTACGAGATTTAAGAAACCACCATCGTGATTTGTATTTACGCGTTTTTAAAATAGCAATTTTATTATCAAACATCGATTTTCGTTTTTACCTGGTTTAAAAGTTGTGCTCTGGGATGCTTATTAACGAAATTTAAATATCGTATATTGCGATTCTTACTTACGAGATTTAAAAATCCAATATCTCTATTTGTATTTCCGCGTTTTTGAAACCCTCTGTAGCGATTCGTATTCATGTGAGTTTAAAATCCAATGTCGTGATTCGTTTATGTGGTTGTAATATCAAACATTCGCATGATTTAGGAGCCACATATCGGGATTCATATTCTCTCAATTTCAATTCAAATATTGCAATACTATACATACATTCATTTTGGATTTCCTCTTTTGTACTTTCTGACTACTCTCATCCCTGTATGTTGTTAAATTTGATAATTTTAAAGCTACTGAATTTCGTATTCTAGAATGTAGTATTGTTAAATTTTTTATAGATATTTTTTGTTAAGACTTGAATGCTCCTGATTTCTTAATTCTAATTTACTTTTATTATCATTCATTGCATTTTTCAGGTGGCACCACCATGTAAATATAAATTAATAAATGTATATATTTAAATTTAAATTTTTTTATTCAGTTTTTAAAAACTCTAATGTTTAAATAACAAATTTGTTAATTTTTACTGAGCAGAATAAGTTCATATAATACTCCAGTAGATGGCCATAGATACAATAGCCATTAATTAGTAGGCTGTCCTATAGAAAACCTCAATATATTTATAATCGTAGCTATTATTTTAAAACTCAGAAATTTGAGTGCTTTCAGGATGATCTTACACTCAGTCATGAAAACTGTTTCAAATTCTGACCATAGATAATTTATGATGACTTAATTCTTTTCTTACAGGTGGCACCACCATGTACCCAGGTATTGCTGATCGTATGCAAAAGGAAATTACTGCCCTCGCCCCAAGCACCATGAAGATAAAGATCATTGCTCCACCCGAGAGGAAATACTCTGTATGGATTGGAGGTTCCATCTTAGCCTCACTCTCCACCTTTCAACAGATGTGGATCTCAAAGCAGGAGTATGACGAATCTGGGCCATCCATAGTCCACCGAAAGTGCTTCTAGAGAACTGTTCTAAAAATAATTAATTCTCTTGTCATTGTGATCAAGGTCGAAATAATTTTCATTCCCTCAAAACTAAAGTAAATCTTATGTTTGGAGCGCAAGTTTAAATAAGTTATTTTCAAGAATATTTTTTGTTTTTGGTAATAAACAATTTTTAAAATCTTTAGTCACTTTGTTTTTTTTAAAGAGGATTCTACATAATCTGTTTCTAAGAGAGACATCTTGATAGATTTAGGGTCCTAATTTACAGATTTTGAAAGTTGACACACTTTTGTTCATCAGCAGTACAATTTTATTGTAAATGTCGAACAATGTCACTGGTTTAAATGAATTAAATTAGTCTAAATTGCAATTTTTATAAAAATTAAGAAATAAAATTTTAAGAAATGAGAGTTAAATTAGAATAATTTAAAAGAATTAAATTTTTCTTAAATTGATGGAAAACTAAATGTTGTGTTACAAATGTCACTTACCAGGCTACTAAGGCTACTTGTAATAGAGAGAAATTTTAAGACAGAGGGTGCATTTTTTCAGTGACTCTACTTATAACCAAGAATAAGACTTCAGCCACACACGTCACAGCCCGTTTTATAAGGCGGACCCATTCATTCCTCCACGGAAATATTGATTTGTTATGGGAACTTGACGGACTTTGTGACCCCGATTGATTTAAATGTGGACCAGTTACAATTTAATACATGGGAATTTGAACTCCTGCTCACAAAGGGGAGCCCGATGTCCCATCATTCAGGCTATCCTGGCCATGGAAAAAGAAATGTGGCAAATAAACTTTTTTGTGGTACACACTTTAAAATTTTAAAAACTAGGGTAAGATTTTTGTGTTATTCATAATTAACATTTTTAGCGTAATTTATGTAGTAATCTCGAACTGAATCAATACAGAAAAGGACGTTATTATGTTTAATAAATATGTAATTTCAGTTTCATAAAATTAACTTCCAAGTTATGTCATTGCAAACATTTTTTTTATAACTTAAGTATAAACTTTTGTTGTTAGAGTGAAATAATTATCTTTTGTTTCACAATTTTCAATGTGCATCTTACAATCTGAAAATTTCATTTTCAATGAAGATATGCTAGAGTTATTTTCAGTGACATAAGTAGTAATTAACAACATTGCTTTTTACTTTAATTTTTTCTCTTTATTTTTTTAAAATTTAAACTAAGAATAAAATGCTATGAATAAAAAAAAATAACAGCAGTTAAAGTTCGTCTTGACAAACTTTCTTTTGTTGAATTTCGTTTTTGGAAAGTTACAAAGATTAGAAGCAGTTATGTCAATTTTTATAGTTTCAGAGATGATGGTGCTCCAGAAGTATTCCGGAATTTTTGCTAACTATGATCAAGAAGTTTCTGGAAATCACCTATCACATTTATGTATAAAAATTCTTCGATGTTTTACTTAAAAATGTTAGAACTAGAATTTATACTTGGCATCTTTCATTTGTAAATATTTTTTCTGGTAAAATGATAAGTGGTTAGATATAAAAGTAAACCTATCCATAATTATTCATTTAAATTATGTTGCATATAATTTATTTAGAATTTCATGTTTTGAAAATATCAATGATTTAAATTTATAAAGACGTTAATTTTTTGAAATGCCTCATTAATGATTTTACTCTAGAAATTTTCAGGATTATTGAGTTAGGCTCACAATCACCCCTGTAGTTTATTAAGATAAAATGTTGATTATTCTGGAGATTTAAATTTTTTTTTTTAAATATAGCGCAATGTAAAAATAAAATTTAGATGCAAAAAGAAGTTATGGCAGTTTAATAACGTAAATGTAACCAGTTTTATTAATTTGCATTATTAAATATATTCAGTAATGCTATTAACTTGCATTATTGTATTGAAATAAATTGAATCATCTTATAAACTGGAGGTATTGAAGTTAAGGTAAATCAAGATTGTGATTTGTGTTAAGCATGGAATTATTGAGTCTATTACGTAACGGCAGAGCATTCATACTTGTGAAGTAAAACACTCTGGAATGTTTAGTGACACAAAACATCAGGGGACATATTTTCATTCTATTATTATTTTTAATCCCTTCTGCATCGGCGAAAGAAGTGCTTTCTACTCTCCAAGTTAATGCTGACTGTCTGTGATTTGTGGAAATTTTTTTTTTAGTTTATATTTTAATGTTATGAGTTCAGTAAATAAGTTTCTAAGTTATTTTACGCGTGTGAGTGATTCGAAAATTCATATGAATCGTCACTTCGCTGCAGTTCCTTCGTGGTGTGGCTTTTACATGGTGCGTAACGTTTTTAAAAGGTGCTTAAAAGTACTTAGTTTTTTTTAAAGCCCTTTAAGATGCTTTAATTATTGTTTTTTTTTAAGTGCTTAATTTTTCCCTTTTTAAAACTGAGAATTTTTTCTTTTCCTTGTTGATTTTCGCCATGTATTATGCGAAAGCGTGCTTTTCACATTGTTCTATTCAACGTTTTAACAAAAAACCTTGTTTAAATTTTTTTCAATTTAAACTGTTTTTTTGTTTGTTTTTTTAACTCAAGAAATTTTCCGGAATTTTGACTTGGGCTCACAATCACCCCTGCGTTAAGAGTCAGATAGGCTTGTTTCATACATGATATTGTAATGCCGTAAAGGTAAAATTGCGCGATCACGTACATGAATATCGTATATGTGATCACGGAAATGATTAGGTTACTTAATACGCTTTAAAGAAGTTTCAGCTCCAAAATAATTTCTAAGAAGATTAGCGAAATTTTGTTTCATTATAATAAAAAAAAACCAACTGTTTTTTTTAGTAATGGTTGCCATAGCAAAACGAGCGTTCAATAAAATACACGATCAAGTTTTAGATCGAAAAGTGAGGGAAGTTGAAGAAACAAACGCCTGAAAATGTCGTGTTAAATACAATAAAAAACGAAAAATACTAATGATCATCATAGTTACGGGAAATAGGAATTACTTCAAAACTGACGCTTGCTTAAGTCAAGATTCTCTTTATTCTTTTAAGCATAGATTAACAAGGTACTCACCACTTTTTTTTTTTTAAAAAAAAAAAAAATTCCTGTCCTCAACTATGTTTAAAATCAAAAAGTTGTAATTTAAAAAAAAAAAAAAAAAATGCAAAACAATTCCATAATTTGTACAAAATCTATTGAAAATTTTTTTTTGCTTTACTAGAGGCAAGGAAAAAAAAGTTAATATTACTTTCACTTTTAATAAAAAAAATGGCTTTTCTGAATTTCAATCTTTAAGTATGATTTTATCACGGAGGAATTTTTTTTCTCCCGCTTTCAGGCAGAAGTTCGCTTTTTTTTCCTTCTTCAATTTAATAAAAAGAACATTTTCGCTTATTCAAAGATAGTTCTGCCTTTTTCGAGTTCTATCTCTCCCGAAAAGAAAAGACTCCTTTTCTTTGATGTAAACGCGATTTAAAATTTTCACCCAACACGTCGCTATTCGTATTCACTCAATTTAAAATTACACATCGCGATTCGTATTCACTAGATTTAAAATTACCTCATCGCGTTATCATCTCACTTTAAGATTCAAATACGCATTTTTTTTTTTTTTTAAAATGCGCATCTTCCACACTTTGCTATTCGAATTCACGCTATATAAAAATGCATATTGCAATGCTTATCCACGAAATTTAAAAATCACACATTAAAAATTCTGTTCTCATGGGATTTGAAATTACACATCTCCTATTCATATTCACGTAATTTAAAAACCTCACATTGGAATTCATATTTTCACAATTTAAAGAAGGAAAAAAAAATTCTGTCATTGATATTTTTTACTAAAACGGTGATAATATTTCTCCTATATATATTCGCTTTTTTCTTGCACAAATTTCAGGTATTTTGACCAATTTTTCAAGAATGGGTTCATAACTTTTCTATTTTCAGCTTTTTTGGTTTTTACCCAACTCATTCCTGTTTTATAGTTTTTTTTTTTAATTTGGAAACTTTAAAAACGACACACATTTCCGCAATTCTTACAAACTACAGTAAAAGCTTAATTTTTGCTTTCTCAGAGACAGAAACTACGATAGGTTCGATAGATAAATTAGACATTGTTTTCTGCTTTCAGGAAAGGAAATCGAAAATACAATTTAAAAAAAAAATATTACCTAGAATGGCTTTTCTTTCGGACTTAAACAAGTAAATAATTCTTTCAGGAAAGGAAATCGAAAATACAATTTAAGAAAAGAATATTACCTAGAATGGTTTTTCTTTGGGACTTAAACAAGTAAATAATTCTTTCAGGAAAGGAAATCGAAAATACAATTTAAGAAAAGAATATTACCTAGAATGGTTTTTCTTTGGGACTTAAACAAGTAAATAATTCTTTCAGGAAAGGAAATCGAAAATACAATTTAAGAAAAGAATATTACCTAGAATGGTTTTTCTTTGGGACTTAAACAAGTAAATAATTCTTTCAGGAAAGGAAATCGAAAATACAATTTAAGAAAAGAATATTACCTAGAATGGTTTTTCTTTGGGACTTAAACAAGGAAATAATTCTTTCAGGAAAGGAAGTCGAAAATACAATTTAAGAAAAGAATATTACCTAGAATGGTTTTTCTTTGTAACATAAACAAGGAAATAATTCTTTCAGGAAAGGAAATCGAAAATACAATTTAAAAAAAAAATATTACCTAGAATGGTTTTTCTTTGGGACTTAAACAAGGAAATAATTCACTCAAACATAAAAGGATGAACAGTTAAGAAGAGAAAAACAACCGTCTGGGATGCAGTAGGTCTTGATCCTTGTACCTCTTTTTAGAAAGATGAGTCGCTTGGCGAAATCCTTGGCACTCATCTTCCAGCATCACTCGCCTAATTTACAATGGCAGACGAACGCCATCCGCGAAAATGACGCAAACTGTATTTCTCCTAAATGTCCCTGAAATTGTCCTACATTCAAAAATGCACAGCAGAAAGAAATATATTGGCGCTAAGGAAGTCCTTTGCCAGTTATGGGAACAAAATGAAGTTCCTCCCCAAATATATTAGCTCCCCCTATTTCCGCTTTAACAATTTCTGTTTTAATCTAATTTTTCAATTTTGAACTAGAATAAACCATAAATAAATAAAATTCAAATAAATCACACAGCTTTGCAAGAAAAGAAAAAGGTTCATTTCATAAATTTTTGAGTAGTAT